CCTGCTGCCGAGGAGGAAAGCAAGCTGTGCCAGGAAAGGCAGGCATTGCCCCCATCCCACCAAAGTCTCCAGAACACTCTTGGTAGCCTTATTGCCTCCCACTTTCATGGCAGGGGAAAACAAGCCCCTCATCATGGGAAGAACACAAATTTAGTCCTATCATGTTGCAAAGCAGCTTTAAAATTCTTCCTAAACAGTCAGGGACTTCTCATACATATTAAATCAAAAGTCCAGGCTCCTGGCTGCTGTCAATTAGCATGGCTTTAGCAGATGGCTTCAATGGAGATACACAGATTTACAGCCGGTGTGGACCCAGACAGAAATGCTGTAGTTGTGACTATTAGAATAGTTGAGGCAGGACCTTGGGACTGGAGCGGCTTCCTGAGTCCTCCCCACAACCATCACAGGCCTTGCATCATGTGGGCCTGTTGCTAAACACATCATGCCCTGTCTGAACATATTTTCCACATTGCAACTACTATCACATATATGGTACAGAACCTGGAGCAGTGGTTCTTCTTCTTCACTATAATGCAATGTCATATTATGACAGGCAGTACATCAGGTGTCTTCCTCTTACAGCTTTAAAACCCCACCATTTGAGGGGTTTTGTCAATGTGGAGGTTAGCTGAAGTCCATTAGTTGATAACTCAGGAACTAAAAGACATCAATAACAGACAGGTATTAGTTAAAAAACACCTGAGAAAACCATTTGATGTGCTTCAGGGATGTTACGTTGCCATTTGATTTGCTTTGGGAAAGTGGCTGCACTGACTGCCCCCGAGCCCTGCAGCACTTCAGAAACTACTGCTTAAGCCTCTCCCTTTGGCCACGCATGTGCTCGTGTTGGCAGTTGTACATGATTATCAGCATTTGCAAAGTGATTATTATGGCACAGACAAGATAAAGAGTAAGTCAGATCTCAAGTCAGTCAAATGTCCACGGTAATCTGCAGCGTGCGTAAAATGCCATATGTATTTATGGATGGCAAGCGTCCAACCCAGTGTTAGAGGCTGTACTCAATGGACTCTACGTGTGCAAGGCTCTGAAACCACCCACTTTGGAAGGACTCCACAGAGACTATTTTTTTCTAATTTAAATATAATGACAAAATACTGTCACTGAGACCTGACACATGGCTTAATCGTCAATGAAATCTTGCTCCCAAGGAGGCATCATATGTGTATTGGCCAATACCACAATGATCATCACTGTATATTAAAATTCATTTTTCCAAAGGGTAGTTATTTCAAACAAACTGCCTAAGTCTGAATCTACAGACAATGGAGAACTATACATGCAGTCAACAAACAAAAAGTAAAAAATAGTGATGATTTCAAGGAATATTGAAACAATTAATAAGCTGTAATTTTCCTATTCGTAACAGAAGAGCTCTGCTCCTCTTTGGGAATGTTGAATCCAATCTAGGTTGCATTAATACAGGAGTGAGTCTTTCAACAGAAATTTACATCGTTGGTTTTGAAATAGAATTGCAAAGTAGTTTCCCCGTGGGAAACTTTGGTTTCTGCCCCTTTTAATTTCAGTGAAGACACATTTTTCTTTCTTGAAAAAAGCACTTGAGCTTTTGGAGAGGAGATGAATTAGGAATAAAGTTTTCATTCACTGTGGAATACTTTTCTTAGACAATGCGGTGAGATAGCAAGACCAAGAGAGACGTGCACATGTCATCATGAAAATAGAGAGCCAGGTGAATTCTCCTCACAAGGCTTCTCTCAGTAGCCAACTGTTTACGTTAGATGGAGATACCATTTTCTATTCTGATCCTATAAAGCCTCAGCTGCCAAAAGCAAAGAGCAAAGTCAGGGTCCCTGGACTAGAAACAGTGATTTAGTAATCACCCCTTTCCTCTCCAGCCAGTACTGTACCAGTACACCAGAAAGTGTTACTGGAGATACCATTCTTCATATGTGCTGTAACCGAGGCGGATCAGCACATTCACAGCCTTCTTAAAAATGCACTTTGAAAAATTTTATTCTGTGCTACCATGGTGTATTATTTTTACTCCATACTATCTTTCTTGTTCCTCTGCTATTGTATTTTGCAGCTCCATGCTGTAAATGCCTTTTTCACCTCAGAGACACCTGCATTTTCCCAGGAAGATATACTGATCCCTGAGGTGTGGCTGATGCATCGCTGTGCTTAGCTTGTAAAGTAGCTTGGGGTCCTCTGGGATACAGGGTGCTTTGTATATGTCAGCTGTGATTCAGTGAAACTTGCTTCCATCTGAACCTACTGTATCAATCAGAGAAGCAACATAATTAATTATGACTGGGCTGCACAAAAGTTGCACACATCAGAAGCCAAGAGTCCTGGAGTTGTTTGTGCTGATGGTAGGCATGAAGATGAACAAGATGAATAGTGACACTGCCATGAACTGTGCCTGACTGCTGTCTTCTCCTGCCATCCATCATCATCACCACATGCTGGGTGGGAAGGGGAAGTGGTTCACAAAAGAAGGGTCAGAGCAGTAAAAAACTTTCATACATCTCTATTCTCCTCTCTTCAGAGAGCGGCTTCAATTTTGCTTCAGCTGTTAGGCCCTGGATGCGGTACTTCAACACAGAAATGACAGAAGGAGCCCCCTCCCCTCAGAAAACAGAGGTTAATTTGTCAAGCCATGTAAAGCATTTTAATTACAATTCGTATAACATGTATAAATAAATATTACATTCTTTCAGTCTACAATGCATACTAGGCATATCTTGTTAAAACGTCCATCTATGTTACTGGGTGGCAGGATTGATTTTGTCCAAGTAAAAAACCCAAACTACTGAGTTTAGTAATAAAAAAAAAAAAAAAGAAATACATGGGTAAAGACAGGACAATGCAAGTGCTTCTGGCTAACAGTCAGGGCATAATACTGCGTTCCAAAAGGCTGGATATACCATCTTCCTTCCAGTTACACAAGGTTTTGGATGACAGTGGTTTCCTCATTGTATAGACTTTGATCTGCGTCCTCCACTACTGTAAACTGGCACTGAGTCAACACAGTTCTGCCAGTTTACACAATGAACCTACAACTCCATTTTGTATTTGCTTCAGATTTATTACTGGTTTTGTTGGGGTTTTTTTATTCAAAATATCAGCTTTACAATCTAGTCTATAATTTTCAGTCTTAGCTGGTCCAATGGCAAAAAAAATCTATAAAATAGCTCCAGATATTTCTTGATCTTGCTCCAGCAACATTTCCCTCCCTTCCAACAGTCTGTCCAGAGGCCAGCTCTCTCAGTACAAGGAAATAAAAGTTTGGGGACAATCAGTGTCTTTCTGTCCATTCTTCTTCTAGCTTTCAGAGCTTGATGAGAGCTGGTGACATTAGAATAAACAGAAAATTACAGAACAAAATTATGAATTCATGGATTTGGCAAAAAACCCCAAAATCCAGGCTGTACATATTTGGCCTGTGACCGTCTCAGTTCCAAGTACATTTAAAATGCACCAGTGGGGCACTCCCATCAGATGTTACTTCTAAATACTAACATAAAACAGCACCTTCTTCCCTTGGTGAAACATGGGAACTTTGGTTGTGGAAATTTGAAACAAACAACTAAATAAACAATCCAGACCTGAAAGTAAGATGAATACTTCTTCCAAACAGAACATACTACTAGCTAGGGTGAAACTGGAGGCTTATGCTTTCAGAAGAGACACCACGTGGAAATTATTAGTCAATACTTATCCTCAAGATTCTTTAAATGACAGGAGATTGTTTATAGCTCACTTAGAAACAGAATGTTCTTGGTCCACTGTGAACTTTGTGAATTGAAAATTTTCCTGTTTTCAAGATATTTAAAAGAAAAATACAAGAGGGAACATTTTTCTGTTTCAACTTACAAGACAAACAGAAAAGTAAAAATAAAAATACCAGGTAATTTCTTCCTCCTTCATATGTAATGCCAAAGACACATCTTCTCTTCAAATGAAGGAATAAAAAGAATCGGCTTGAGTAACAATCTAAAAAGTCTCCTTGTGGGTCATGTGCCCACAATTGTGATGTTTTATTAGAAATATAGACAAGTTATTGTTTGTCTCTTGCTTATTCTTTTCATGCTCTTATATTCTCTCATTTCTTTTTACAAATATTTTTGGTACTTTGAAAGATTACTATTGTTATTATTTGTATGACCCATAAAACAAATTTTCACAACCTCATCTTGCCCAGTTCATCATACTGGTCATAGGATTTCCTTGTTCCTTTCTGCTATTTATATTCCACTTCCTAAATCCATGAGTAGCAGAATAACCGCTGGAAAAACTAAACAAAGTGAGAAACAAAAACAAACCATGGACAGTTTGGCAAATTTCTTTCCCTGATTATAAAAACTGCCTCATCATTTCTCCTGGTGATTCCTTCCCCTCCCCCTCTTCTGTCCCAATATATACTGTAGAACTGAAGGCATCAAGGTGTGATTAAACCCAAAAAACCAGCAAGGAGCTACACTTTGTCTTTGAACTTCTCCATGTAGTTTTGTATCTCTTTGGAGTCCTCCAGGTCCATATCCTGGCACACCCACTTAATGTCATCATCATTGCTACTTAGGATTGAGTTGACAGTAGGACAACCATCGTCAGGTGGGATGGTAGTGAATGTCGTGAATTTTACCCGCTTCCGTTTAGATGTTGGAGAATGTAAAGGTTCAGATTTCTGTTCCTTTCCAAGCTTTCCCCCTGAGTCAGCACACCTGTGAACCTGGCTCTGAATGTTCTTCTGAGCACTGCCATTGAGAAGCTGGTTGCTCTCCTCACAACCCGAGCCTCGGTCGATAATAGTTGTGTGCTCATCCTGCTGAGGTGATGTATCTGCTGTGTTCTCCAGCAGTTCTGCTTCATTTCCCAGCCAGACCCAGTCATGGGAATGGGTCATTGTGGCCTGTCCTTCCACCAGAACCTGCTTATGACGGTACTTCAGTGCAAATGTTGCACAGTTTATTAGGAAGACTAGAATTGCCAGGCAGAAGACCCCTAGCAGAGCATACATCCCAATCTCCAAATCGCTAAGGCCCCTAGGTGTCTGCACCAGGTCATTTTCCTCCACGCCCACATTGCCTTTTGGGAGGTCTACTTGAGCAGGGAAGTTGGTGAAGTCTATAGGAATGTTTTGCAGCTGGCTATCATCTGAGAGTTTGCCACCATCCAGCCTGCTGTTTTTAATTACTTTATTTTTTATTACGGATTTTGCTGTGGTGCTGACTTTCCTGATAGCGCCTTCCTCTCGCTCTGCTGAAGAGCTACCATAATATCGTCCATCCTGGCCATACCGTTCCTGATCTGACACTTTGTGCCGCCGGTCACTAGCATGGTTTTCAATCTCATCAGCATCATAATCTCCACCCGTATCGGAGTCTGCATCATTCTGGCCGAATTTGACTTTGATGTTGCCATTCCCCACAGCCAGGACACTTTTCCTCTTGGACTTTTGGCAGGCTTCAGAAATCATCATGTCCACCTTGATTAATGCACCCTGACCTTCACCTTCTGCTGCCACAACTGGCCATTCTAAGGCAGTGTTCTGGTGGATCGAGACAACAGCTTCATCTAATGATACAGCAGAAAGGGAGAAGTCCTTAGAGTCATAAATGTCCAGCGGAGTAACAGAGCTGTCGCTGAACTGAATCCAGGTGCTTACTACAGCTTCCTGAAAGGAGAGGGATATGGTTAAAGATAGGGTCTTAAATAAAACAGCTCAACCCATTGCAGCTCATCAATCTCTCAGCTCTGAACGGCAGTGGGAGGAAATGGAAGACAATGGCTCTGTGCTGCATTTAAAGCAAACCAAGCTTCAACTGATGGGGCAGAAAATTGGTCACATTTTTCACTAAAGGTTCCACTGTTATCCTTCCGGCAAATGTTTTTGCAAAAGAACATATAAAATAATTGATATGAGACGTCCGTAATACCAAAATACCCATTAACAAGCTACAATTTACATGATTTATAAAAAAAGTCATTCCTGTCATACGAAATCTGAAAGAGACAAACCAGAAAAATTACTAGAGGCGCTTGACAGAACACTTATTTTCCTCATGTTCCCCATGCACAGGTGTCACGGGGAGCTGTCAAATTAAACAAGGCATAAATATCTTAGCAGGAATAAGGAGCTACCACAGTATCTTGGAAATGGTTGGAGCCAAAGATTCACCTGAAAGAAAAAGCCTCACAGAACAATTGCCATTGTGCAGGAGAAAGGTTTGTTTTAAGTAAAAGACACTTTATCCTTGAGATAATTAAAAAGTCCACCGCATTTCTGTGTCAAGGAAAGGAGGACGGGATTCTGGTATGATCTCTACCACAAAAATACAAATGGCCTGGATTTAATTGGACTGTCTTTGTTCTCTGCAGGTAGCACTGTTAGAAGTCATCATTAGACACAAACGCAAAGCTAGAGGTCAGCTCTTTGCCATTTGAAATCCCATCCAGATGATATAGATATTTACTTCTCCACGTCTCAGTAGCTTTCTTTGCAGGAGATTTCTTTATTTTTTCATTTGCTCTGTGTCTTGCCTGTTTAGCCAGCAGACATGCAGGCAGATTGCCGGAGTGCAACTTCGCAGAAAAGCAAAGTTCTTTTCTTCCCAGACTTAAACTGCAGATGGCCGTAATAACTTTACACTTGGGTACATCAGAACAACTGGGCTGAAAATCACCATCAGGGAAAAAGACTGCCACCCTGTTAACGTCCAGTCATAATACAAATTTACAACCTAATATGGTTTTCAATTGGCTACAATTTGTTACGCTATGGTTATAAACAAAGGGAATTGCTACCCTTCTAGTTAGATTTAAAGCTTTTCAATGAAAACAGCAAGGGGCATTTAGCTGTGCAGAAGGTTGGACTATACCGAGTATTTGATTTCCAAAGTGCTATCAGCAAGTTCTTCAGGGACTGAAAGAAGAAAAAATAAGTTGTGGACAACAGGAAAGAAGGCAACGTTCTTGGTGATTCAAATGCACTTCAAACAGCTGAAATGGAGCCAGAGTGGCACAGAAGCTGGGAAGGGTGAACTGCGCAAGGAAGTTAAACCAGCGATCTTTCATTAGAGAAACAACCCTGAAATGGCTGAACAGAGAGAAAACATAAAGCTGCAGGGCACTGCTTAAATTTATATCATAGAAATCTATAGTAGAGCAAACCCAGTCATGGGAAAGTAAAGGATATTTTTTTTTAATGGATATGTGTAGAGAGAAAAAGATGCATCTCCTCCGGCAGTTCAACATCCTGTTGCCTTCCTTCTCCCTAAAACAAGAGGACAGCCTCGCATACCAACAGGGAGGTATGTAAGATACACTTACTTTTCATCAACCTATGGAAAGCAAAACCACCAGCATCATTTCAAGCGTATATCACAACAGGCTTGACACTGTTTGCCAGCGGTGCTCTCTTTTGGAGAGCAGAATGAGAAAATAAGTGCAGAATTTTGTACAGTTAAGGTTGGAAATTATGAGGCCTGTGCCTCCTCCCAGCTCTGCTGAGGACTTCCATAGTTCCACATCTCTACAAAATTATTTACATTACTAAATCCTTTGTGCATTCCTTAATAGCCAAACGCAGCATACCTAGCGTTGCAGAGCCCCAGGTCCGATTATGGCCCTTACTATGCAAGTAAGTTTTATTGGTGGTGGAACAGCACCTCTGCGGGATCTGGGATCCCTTCTGCTTTAACAGCCCTCAGGCACCTTTCAGGTTAAGCGGTAGCCAACATGGAAAAATTCAGCTCAAAGGGCTAGAACTTGACAAAGTTGTAAGCAACTTCAAAACAACTTTTATTCTTTACACTATTTCTTCACTATTCTGCATTGCTGGTTTTATGAGGCAGAGATAGAGAAAAATGAAATGGCAGTCAGCTAAAATTTGCAGGCACACATATGATTTACTATAGATTACAGAGGTGGGCAATAGCTTAGCCATTATTTTCAACCAGCACTGTTGGTTTTTATTTCCAAGAGACCCTTTTTTCATAGGAAGAAGCTAATTTTTCACAACACAACATTGTCATCCTTATACTACAGACAGTATTAATTAAAAGGGAAAGAAAACAAATGAGAGAAAGAGGGACAGAATCTCAAATCCTGCCAAAGTATATTGTATCAGCCCAAATATTCTATTTGGCAAGAGATCATCTCCTCTCATTCACATTGTTAAAGGAAAACTGAAGGCAGGGGAAGGAAGTGAATTTCCCAAATGATTATAAATTCTGAAAACCTAAAAAGGAAAAAGAAAGAAAAAAGAAATGATTTAGTATCATGTCCTTCAAAGAGCTGTTTCTGCAAATCCTATGTACTGCATCAATAAATCCCCTCTGAATCTCTGACAAGGTCCTCCAATTACTATCAGCAGATGAAGATGGATTGGAGCCTTCTTACCTGCAAAGTTGCTGCCCCTAGTCTGATGCCCTAAACACTGAGGTGACAAATGCTTGCGTTCATTAATTATCAAGCATAAACAAATAGTTTGCGGGATTATTTGGTTCTCCAGTCTTTCTTTCCTCCACTTTTCCTCTCTCTTTCACAAATGCACGCACAAACACACAAACACATACTCAGTTGCACTCCCAGAACAAATGAACCACAGCTACACATTAGTGCCGGTGTCTCTTACAGAACAGGATGATTTATATGGTGACTGTGATGACGTGCAGTGAGTCAGATAATGTACATCATGTTAATGACAGCAAAATCCAGTCCAGAGGAGATAAGGAAACGTCTTCGCACAACCACTGCGGGTTATCAAATATCATTCTTTCCATAAACAAATAACTTTCTTTATCAAGACACATTTTGTCTACATTTTCCCTTGTGCCTTTGCTGTTCTCTTCCTCCATTCCAGGTATAATGACATGCCAGATCAGCAAGATGGCCAGTTCTTGATCTGCTGCAGTTCCACCACCTCTTCTGGCCCTGAATTACATTGCTGCTTATCAGTCCAAAGATGCCACTTGATAAATCTTCTTGGATAAACTTGCATTTTGCTTTTTGGTAATACTTTTATCTCCCTTATTATCTATTTGTTATGTTTAGGTGGGTAAAACAAAGGGGAAATTACCAGGGTACAGAAGTAACATGGCACTAATGGAAACCAACAGTCCCCAAGGAGTTCTGGATTGCCTGGCCTGAATGATTCCAAACCTGCTGTATGAGCCACCACAAACACTTTTGTTTGCTGGCTATGTCTGTTCCACCTAGATAAAACAAGGAGGCTCACACTCCAAAAGGCAACCTGAATGCAGGAAGCAGAGCTGGTCTGGAAGCTCAGCAGACAGCCCATCATACAGAGATCTGATGAGTCCCACTGTGCTGGGACTTGCACAAGTTGCCTGTGAAAATCTGGGAGCCACAGTAATGATTATTTTGCCCTCTAAAGCATCATACAACATTTGAAAGCCTGCTTATCTTAGGATGTTCCACTGAGCCCATCTGCAGCATCACAGTCAGTGATTACAAAGTGTCCTTCAATACCACCTCAAAAAAGCTGTGGTCAGCTTGAAATCAGGGCATGCTATCTTGTATTCTTCAAGCAAAAAAAATAGGAGAGTAAAGTGTGTAGGACTGGTTGCATTTTAGAGAATTCTGATGCTTAGAAACACAGATGTGAGGACTGATCTGTATATTTGATTTTATTCCATGCCCAGAATAAAGAGGCCTTTTAATGGTCTTCATTCACTAAAGCACAAATAAAAGTATTTGAGAATAAACCCTCAATAGCTGGAGTCAGCTGCAATAGTCCTGGACTGAGGCAGGACACCAAAGGAAAGAAATGGGTGGCTGGATGGCTCTGCAGAAAACAAATACATCCCTCCCTCGGTTAAAGGCAAGGGACTACTGTTCTCAGCCACTTCTATTAGAACAGCTCTGATTGTTCTATCTGGGGACTTGAATGCTGAAATGGGTTTCCTTAGCAATTTTATCACATGAAATATCAAAGTATTACATGTGCATTTATTTTTAAGCCCGTGGCTTATGTAGTAAAAATTGGGCTTGATCGTTACGATGTGGAAATGAAAGGCAGCCAAGACTCAGATCTTAATTCAAACCATGCATTCCCCTACTGTGTGTTTCTTTCTCTCCTTTTTGTCCAATCTGCTAACGTGACATTCCTTTCCAGTGGGAATTTGCCTATATTTTAAAGGGAAGAATTCAGATTCTTATCTAACAATACATCCTTTCTCCCTTTCCCATGCTGTTTAATTCCTTTGTCATACTTGTGAGCCACTACATTGCTCTGTCAGTTTAAAGAAGATATAAATACAATTTAAGTGTAATTTATACTGCCAGAATGGGGTAATGAATCCACACCATAAAAATACTCCTAATATCTGTTACTTAACTGTGAGGTGTAAGTGAACTCCCAGAACTAGCTTGCACAAAGGACATAAGCTAAACCAGGGCATTATTGTGTCAATCCAAAAGGCAGGGATGTGCAAGCAGCTCTAGCTTGTTGCCCTGATTCAGGTGGTGCTGAGCACCCTCATCTTGACATTTTGGAGGACACTCCCTGAGGTTCTGGATGACCTCACGGGGTTGGGCCTTGTCACTGGTGTCAACAGGAGCTACTCATATGAAAGAGAAGAACTTGGCCTTTAAGAAGTGCTAATATTGCTCTTTTTTCCCTAAGAAAATGCCTGAGGTTTTCCAGTAGGACTGAGAGATATATTAATACACACAGCTATTTATTAAAGGCTTTCTTTTCTCTTTCTTTTATTCTATCCACTCTCCCATTTCAGTTCATTAGACCACACACGATACCCTATAGTGATGAAAAAGCTATGATATGACTCTGAGTTTTCAGCACAGGAAGCTGGAATTTAAGAGTCCTTGAAGCTCACTCAGATCAGAAAACACTTAAACACTATAGATTTTCTTTAATTTACATTTTGGAGAGGCCTTTAAGATGGCAGCGTTGATTTTAACAACAGTCAGCAAGCCAAACAGAACAGCTTTTCTACCTGAGCAGATGGCCACTAAAAATAGACTGCTCACAGCTACAGTTTCAACATTTTAAGAAGATATAGCAACTTTGATACTTAAAAGTTGGTCAACCTGCATTTATTTTTAGGCACCTAAGTCATTGATCCACTTTTCAGTGCCAATGAGCTCCCCATTGATTTAAAAGAAAAGGAATTATGGGCACAGCATCACTTAAGGTCACCTTGTCACCTCAGGTAATTAGTTGCCCAACTATAGATAAAGATATCTAACTTAAGGCATCCAAGATAAAAACATTTAGCTTATCCTCTTTAGATTGCTAAGCATTTGGAGAAACTTCCAACTTTTCAGGACTTGTGTTTTGGCTGCTTTGTGCTACTTATGCAGACATGGTGTGGTCATTATAATCAAGGAACTAACCTAGTCATTATATTCATTGAAAGAAAGTCACAGTAAAAATACAAAATTCATTCCTAAGACATTGAAAGATGTGTAATAGCACAATCTGTATAACACTTTATGCCTTCCACTGCACTATAAAGATGTACTGCTAATCTGTTGGGGACAATATTGTGCCTGCCAGAGTACCAACTACCCAAGGACATTTGCTAATCTATGTTGAAGCTTGGCTATTGAAGGTGCTAAAGTGGAGCCAAGGAAAACATTTGACTAAGAACACATTGACTGTTTTTTCCATATAACAATGCTGAGGCATACACAATCATTTCTGAGAAAAATAAAACTTTCGGCTATCTTAACTGTTATTTTGTTTTTCAGTTGCATCACTAAGGTTTGCATGAGTTACTTGGCCCTTTTTATAAACCTGTTTGAGAGGAAAAGACACACTTAAATAATGAAGGCCTTGCAACATTCAAGTATATCCTTAGTTCTGGGCTGCCCCCTTGAAAAGAAACCTCTTTCAAAGGGCTTGATTTTCAGAAAACACTCAGCATTCGCCTTCTGAAATTCCAGCTCAGTAAGGATCCATCTCATCTGGATCATGAGTCCAGATCATGAGTCTCTTCTTGCAAAATTTAGCCACAAGCATTCCTACATTTTCATTATTCTTCTAAGTGCAAGTGACTTAAATGTTATATCCTTAATTCAAACTGCAAATGAAAGGAAAAGATGTATGTGACTGGACAGGCCACTCCTATGCTAAGACTATTTCCTTCAATGTATTTTCTAGTGTGAAATCTATTCCTGTCATTATTTTGGTGATGTCCCTAAGGTCTCTTTTCAACAGCCCTTCCTCGGGCAAGCCCTGTCTATAGGCTAAGATTTAGGCCTGAGAACAAATGAGTGGCTTACAACAAGGTATGAAGTGAATTACACAGTGTGTGGAATTAGCCCAGGCCTCCGGGATGAAGGCACTGCTAAAGTGCCCTGGTAACTAGGGACTGGGCTCAGGTTCCACAGGGAGCTGGCATGACCAGGATCAGGACTGCAAACACTCACAGTGCTGGAGCAGGAACTGACCCTCACAAATAAGCGAGGAGTGATGCTTCCAGCAAAGCCTTCTGTTGGGGAGCAAGGCAGGATACTTCTTTCTCCTGGTGAAGAGGAGGTGGTGGGAAGACAAGCAGAGGCAATGGGGGTGGGCAGGCTCCAGACTGGAGGAGCTGGAAGGAGAAGCAGAGGCTGAAGGGGGATTCCACAAGAACATGCTGCTCTGTGTTTGCAGGAAACCGGGACAGAAGGCACTGTGCATAGAAGGACTGGGGAAAACTGACTAATTTGGGACTGCTACTAAGCAACCAGATTTCCAGATCCTGGTGTAGAGAAGGTTTTCCACTGCCTTATAACAAGAGTCTAGGTTCTGGTTTTTTTTCCAGACAGAGTCTGGAGAAGAAACAACATATTTTAAACTTCTTTTACCAAGAAAAAGGTGCTTGGTTTTCTTTTGACTGCTGTTTTACAGTCGGTATCTTCAGTGAGCACAATGCAGTAGCGCTATCTGTAGGCCCAGCAAGACGACAGTAGGGACAGCAGCCCCCCCACTGCCCAGCAGTACCAGAAGCAGGCGGCGTTGCTCAGGATGGGAGCCTGATATGCCCCGTCACTTCTGTATCAGAAATGTGCCACTCTGAGGAAACTGAAATTGTCTCAGAAAAGAACATCAGCTTCAACAAAATATTTCATTAAAATCATTCTGTAACACAGATGATGGGAAAAATAATTTCAAAACAAACCACATTTCCACATTTTTATTCTTTTGTATTATTTCATAACTTGCCAACTGTAGTGACATGTAATGACACGTCATATCATATCGCCGTGCCATAATACAATATGAGATGTCATGTTGTGCAGCACTGAAATGCCCTGTCATAATATGCCATAACCTGATGTTGATAAATATCTTTGCATACCATGGACAGATAATCTATAAATCTGAGAAGTTGACAATGTATCTGTGCAACCTTTCCCAATTCACAAGGTCTTTTATCTGCAATCAAAGGCATGATTCTTCCAATGATGCTGCAGGACAAATGGTGCTCTGTCCTATATAACAGAATTGGGTTAGGTGTGCTCCAGCTTTTGCTTTTACAGTTTTGGTCTGAAGACAGAATGCCAGACATGGTTTCTAAGCCCTGGAGAAGGGTATAAATGGGTTAATTACATAAGATACTTATGTTTACAGGATGCAGTAAATGGAACAGATGGGCAACACGTCATTCTAGTTTGGACATTTTCCTGTCACTAAGTTATAAAACAATCTAAATTATTTTTATGTTCCAGAAAATTAGGTAGCAATAATCATGAAAATGGGCCATAAAACCTGACTTGAGATCTCTCCCTATCTGTGTGAGATGAAATACAGTTTCTGTGAGAGGAGTAGCTGTGGACAGAGTTAATTGCATGGTCCCCAGTCCCACTCTCCAAATCAACTGACAGAAAGAGCAATGAACATACAGCTTGTTCCACTGCTACTGACCCCTGGTTTTAATCTGTTCCAGAGCAACTGTTTGCCTCGATCTGGTGGTATTCTCCAATGTTCTTTTCCATGTGGGTTGTGACCTGAAACATGCTGCTTGAAAGACTCCCTTTACAGAGATGGAAATTTGCTGGCTAAAATTAAGTAGGATCAGCACAGTGGTACCCTAATGAACTGAACGACAACCCCCCCAAAACCCATCTATAAAATAAAATAAAAGGATAGGGGAGCCTGGCAGTCTGCCATGACTCCAGGAGGGAAAAGAAATGTATTTGGTTATCTTCTGCCTCTATTTTATAGCTTTTCAAAATATTAAATTGTTGTGACACTTAGAGCTTTGTGCTCTCTGGCATGGAAAACAAAGGCATGCTCATCTAGAAAACAAGGATCACTGTCCAAAGACTGTGTTGTGAAAATAACAGATGTTGCATCATTTTAAGTAAGGGTATTAAAAATGTAAATAATATAAACTTCAGTGTAGTCAGAATTTTTACTGCAGATTAAGTTCATATTTGCAGGGAAGAAATGAGAAGACAATTCCAGAGTACCAGTAGAGGAAAGCAATTGACACAGACATGGACTAAACTTATACTTTAAAGTCTAATTTCTAAACTTAGTACAAAATATCATCTGTACTTCATAAATTATTGGTAAAATATTGCTCCATCCCAAAAGGCAACAACAGTAAATATGGAGCATACACTACCTGCTTAGGAGTATGAAGCAGCTCCTGGGCAACGGTTGTAGCCACAATAGCCCGACTACTTGCGGCACTTGGCTGAAGAAAGAGTGAAAGCCCAGCCACCAGCTGGACTCCAAGGTCTGTTATGGTCACTTTGTCATCTAGCACAGTCACTGTCTTCTCTGCCAGGATGGAGTCAGACAGAGGAGACAAAACCTTTGGAGAAACACAAAAGAATCAACTTAGGAAAGGGCTGATCAATTAAAATAACCTTTCTTAAGGTCATCATCCCTTCTTGTCTCCAAAACTTTATGCATAGAAATGAAGTGACAGAGCACACTGAAAAGGCAGTCTGATTTCATTAGCGGGGTCAGAAAAGCATTCAATAGAGAGGTTATGGCTGAGAACATTGCGTCCAATACTGAGAGCTATACTATCTCACTATCTCAGTTGTGTTATTTGCATCATTTCACTAGAAGAGTCAATTTAAACCTTTTCCCCCCCTGTTATTCTGTGTCCCAGTATGGATAAGCTCATCAGATTTACTTCCCAACCATTTCATAGGGAGGTTACCAACATCTAGGATTTGTCCTTCACTTCTTTGCTTGGAAATTCTCATCCTCTTTTCTGTTTCTGATGGAACATAAAGGTATTAGGATATACTTCCCTCTAATGAAACTAAGGGCCATAATGCTATCTTTAGGGAACTAAGGATAACGAGTTCATGCACATGCTGTCTTCTCCACCTTCCCTATCTCATATCTACAGCCTAGATTAGCTATATTCACTCTTTGTGCATTGGCTTTAGTAAGGACTCAGCCAGGGCAGAAAAGGGATATGGTGTTTGCCACTTGTGCCTTTCAGGGTTATTAATCAGGTTGTATCTTTTTTTCCTGAATTAATGTTTAAATAAGTCAAAAGAAACCTGGCACAATCTAAAGATCTCTGTCTCAAAAAGTCAAAATGGTGCCCATCAGCTGACTGGTGGTAACCTGCATCCATGTGGGGCAAGAGCTCTGACTTCTCACTGAGCCTGGAAGTGCTGCCTCTCCTAAAGATCTCTGAAGGCTCTAAGGCTTCCAGCTCCTGGCCATACTGCATGCCTTGGACCACCTCTAGCTTGGATCACTGTCTTTGGGTTACTGCTGTGTGTGACACTCTAGAAGGTCACAGGAATGTAATGGGAAATTATCCTGTTTCAAGATAGCAGAACACTGTACTGGATTTATGCCCCCACACAGGTTCTCTATGGGAATGGTAGAATGTGGCAGTCCAGAGCACAGTACCTGCATCGTTGTCATTCCTACTTCCCGTCCGATCAAAATCCTGCCTTCCTGCAGCTTGGCAATGTGAGGATCCTCCAGTTTCATAAAATCCATCACCAGGTCTGTAATGTCAAACTGCCAATCTGAGCCCAGCAGGTAGCTCAGCTGACCCCACGGGCTAGAATCCTCAGCTACAAACTGTGTGAGGACTCGCACCATGGCATGCTGGTACTGCAGAGTGCACCCTCTTCCTTTCCGCTCATCTTCATCCTCATCATCGCTGTCTCTGGTGGGTCTTTTTTCATAAGAAAATAAAGCATAAAGAAATGTTTTCAAGAACATTAGTGAAAGCTAACAGAGTGCTAATGGAGAATACCCCCTTAAATAACAGCCCTCTCTTCTGTTTTTTTGGACCATTGCTGATTCATGGCTACCTAGCATGATGAAGGACCACACAAATGGACTCTACCACTTTTTCATCTAAGCTGGTATGTCTGAACAACAACAACTCTACATGTGGACCTTACCAGAGCACCACACTGTACTCTGTTGCACAGGACAGATGCACACACAGAAGCAAAACTCCCACAAATTTTAAAAGCTTTATTCTATCTGCAGATGTCCGGTGCAAAGCTGGGGATTCCAGTACTGCTGTTCCTCAGGGAAAGATGCTGCATTTTGGGTGCAGGTGCTGTGGCTGTTCTTGCTGAGAGTTAAAATCACCTCAATTCATTTTACAAAAACACCCAAGAAATTTAGCAACTCAAACCCACCTTTTGTTGGAAACAACTGGGACTCGCCAGCCTTTTATTTGGCTCAGTTCTGTGTCCGAAATGTCGATCTGAAGAGGCAGGCGTGGAACCCAGACTGTGATTTGCAGAGGAGCACTCAGATACTGATACGTGAAGTTCACAAGCGCATTCACCTTGCCTTTCATTTCTTTGCCATTGACAAAAACATAGTCACATCTGTCAGAAACCTAAGGTGGGGGAAGACAGAGAGAAAGAAGAGAAGGTAATCACTGCAACAAAACAAGCTCAAAGTGTAACCCTCAAAACCAAAAACAAACAAAAAAGGCTCCCTCCTCTTTATACATGTTAATGATGGCCTTTTACAGTGGGAGCACCTGAACACAAAAATCCTTCATTGGCTCAGAAGGCATAATTACACTGGAGGTGCCTGAAGACTGGATACTATTTATGAAGCTGGTGGTTGACTTTCGGTTTGTTATGCAGTGAGCCACTAGCAGATCACAGTGCTGTGGAATTTATAATGAGCAAGGCTCCTTCACAGCTTGGTCAAGAGGAACCAAACAAACCAAAACAAGTCTCAACGGAGGCAAGCAGCAAATCAAAGCTCTACCTTGACGAGACGTTCATCAGGGGGTGATGCTGCTTTCAGTCTTCAAGACAAAGCTGTCTCTGGAGTGGATTTCATCCACTGAAGAGTAACAGAAGTCTACTCATTTCCTCCACAATAAACATTATCTGTTTATAAATGTTTACATTTTGATTAAAGCTGTAAAGTATTTCTAAACACTGCAGTAGATTTATCATTAACATGTAAATGCTGGCCTGAAATATAAGCAAGCATTATCATAGTCATGTAAGAGTTATATCAGTAATCACTTCCTTAATCAATGTTGTAATTTACAGACCATTGAGTTTTCTCATTTATTACGGTACTGAGTACTAGTGATAAAATCACTCCTGAATATATAAATCATTAAGAGGGATGCAGATAGTATGAAGTGACTCCATGTGATAAAGTCATTGTCATATCTATTCCTAAAGGTGTCATAAATGTCCGGGGAAATCCTGTGGCACATTAATCATACATTAAGTGGCTTGCAAAGGGAGCTGTTACATTACTAAATGAGCTGGTATGTCTGCAGAAATTAACAGTAAACCCAGCAGATCTCTTCAACTCCTGCTCCTGCTCCCATCCCGTCAGAATTCTATTTCATCACCCATAATGAGTATCGTTAGTGGTGGCAATGCATCTCCCCACCTGAACATATATTTATATTATCATCTGCTCCCTTTTATCCCCACTCCCATTCCCAATATAATTTTATTCAAATGAAGATTATCAGCTGGAAATGCTTGTGTCCCCAGGCTAAGCAAACAGATGGATGTCCTCTGTGACCACAGATTCAGGAGCTAAACTGTTCCCAGTTTGACACACACATCCCGTTTGTATCCTCTGTAAGGATTAGGCACTGCTCACATTCTGGTAAAATATTTGATGGTGAGATTGCAAAAGGAAACTTCAGAGAACATAACACAAACATTTCTATGACTCATTCCCTAAGGGGGCTGTGCTGTAGCTGGGCTCTGTTGACCAAAACCAGCACTACGTACTCCAATACCTGACCCACCTGTCCATTTAGGCTTCTCCCTCAGAACATCAAACACAGGTTTGAAAGGCTGAAGGTGCCAGAAATTTCTTTGTGGTATCACTACGAATGGCATGCTGTATTTTTACATGTATTAACTTGAATAGCAATGCAGAAAGGGGTTTAGTTCGTGCTAGGCTGTTTCAGAATGACTGTTTGATTGAATCTAAAAGTACTATGCAGAAGAGGTGCATAATATATATAATACCATGCAGTAATTCAGAACTCTTTCCTAGATGGGCTGCTCTTTCTTTCTATGGTGCCATTGCATCAGCTTCACCCTGGGAGAGGAAACATGAAAATGTTTCTCATGAAAACAACTCCAAGTGCACAGGCAAGCAAGAGCTACATGTCAGGAGTTACAGCCTTGACTCCTGATGACGGAGGCAGTTCTGCCTAGAGCCCTATACAGCCACTAGGACATATTGGGGACATTCAGGTCCTGTATTTGAGCTGCTGATGTCTTGCACAAGCCTGTTGTCTCTCTGCTGTCTCAGTTGCATGGAAACAGGAATAGCCCGTGGGTGACTTGCCTCTGTCGATGCTTGGCAGCGTTACTACCTCTCCCCCTGAAGCTGCCTGTGTCTCTCCACTAGAGATGGAGACCCTGCCAAGTATCTTAGACCAGATACCTAATTCTTAGATGGCTTAAGTGAAAAAGAATTAACATCTAAATAATATACCACAAATTAATGTTACCTACAGGCACAACATCCTCAGTGAAGTTCAGGGTACAAAGAAGTCCTGGCTGACACAGACTCATAATTTCTGTCTTCTTCTGTAACCTCAGGAAAGTCAGTGCAACTCTTTCTGTCCATTTTCCCTCCCTGGTGTAAACAACGCAACCCAGGGAGCCTGGGTCAGCAACAGAGACCTGCACTGCACCTGGAGCACAGAACAACTTTTAGAGCCAAATGGCGAGTGAGTGAGCAAGTGCGCCTCGGGGAGAAGACCCTGTGTCTGGAACATTTGACAAAGCAGCCTCAGATATGGCTCTTTGTTCTTTAGCCCTATCTTCCTTTGAGCAGAAGCTTTTGGGAGGCTTGTCAAGAAGATCTGATTTAATTCCGCTTGGAGCAGTAGCCACTGCCAGCCTGAAACTGGTTCCATCCCATTCATTTCTATGGAGTTGATCCCAAAGACAAATGAATGAACTTTCTGAGTTAGTTGTACAAGTTGCTTATTTATGCACATAGTAAACCACATGCATGTGCTGATAAAAGATTTCTGGTAAGAAAAGATTTCTGATTCAGCCTGAGACTGACCGGGTCTGGTCTGGATGTATGATATAATATTATCTGAAGCCCAAAGTTGTCAGTAATGGAACAAATGCGACTGTTAGGGAAAAAAAAAAAGCCAGTAACAATAGTAGCAAAATTGCAATTCCTAAATGGTTCTGGGCTGAGATCCAATCTCCATCTGTATTTGTAAAGCTGCTATATGCCTTCATGGGTATGCGACAAACAAATGGCTAAACAAATATATACAGCATCCTAAGGAGGTGGCTGTTGTAGCTACCACACAGCCTTTAAAATTGCTACACGTAAATATTTATTACTGGACATGCATCAGCAATAGTGGCAGGTCTTTATGAGTTGCATTGAGAAAAACATTACTCTCTTCACCAAGTACAAGCATTGCTAATGTCCTTACACATGCTCTTTCTTCTGTTCCTGTACTTCTGATAAAGAGGTAGCACACAGAGAGTACAGGAAGAGCAAAGCTTACATTCTATTGCATTACTGTATGCATTTTAACTGTTGTGCTTTCAGGCATCCATTCTTGAAGCAACATTGATTGCTTTTGACAAAGAAAGGCAACAGACTTTCCAACTAGTGCTATACGGGGGGTGAAAAGGAGAAACTATCTCAGCATCTAATTCACAATGTGTGCATGCTCCTCGTATGTACAGGATTAAGGATACTCCTCAAGAAACGTTCAGTTAAAGCTATTCCACAGTCTACAGCGTCTGTAAGCAACACATTCCAGCTAAGCTCAGCTGTAGCAAGCTAGAAGAATGAGAGCAAGGGGGTTTGCTTCCCCTGCCCTTGTCTTACACAGTGTCACTTAAAAAATAAACACAAAGGATTTCTCAGCCTCAGAGAACAAATCCAGATGTACTGATTCTGCTACAATTTACAACAGCAGCAAGCCACATATAAGGCCTAATTTACTAAGCAGATGCTCCTCACAAAAAAAGGGTAGGGGTTATGTGGTGCAACAACAGAGCCCCTCAGCTCAGATTAACTCAGATGGAAATAACATCACAGTCAACTTGGTTTAGGAGTCATTCAACACAGACTTGGCAAAATTATTTTTATTTGTTCTTATATGGGGTCAAAAGAGATGGAAACACAGCACTGGTAGGGACAACCTAAAACAGTGTCTCATGGAATCATGGGGGAAAGATAGAAGGGAGATTAAAAAGAGTAATAAATTAAACTGGATACATTAGAACATTATAAAGGTATATTTGTTTAAGCATTTTTGATAGCTAAAAGTATCTCTGTTCTCCTCCAGGGTTTTGCAATGCTTCTGGAAGGTCCCTGAGCAGTGCAACGACTGGCTCTCATCCGCGAGGCCTGCCCACAGTAGTCTAAGGAAGTTTCTAATAGAACCTGGAGACGCTGTGAACAGTCTCCCACCTCCTGTAGTATTTATGCTTTTGCTGTGAAAACATCTTCCCTCTGAAAGTGCTTTTTATCTTTAGCATCAGAAGAAGTGAGAGATGATGAAGGGAAAGCCTGCTTAGCCACCACCTTTAAGTGATTGGGTTTTTTCTATTCTGCGTATCAGATCAGCAAGAAGTTTTGCATTTTAAAGAGCTTTCTGATGCTATTTCAGCAATTTCTTTCATTATTAAGCTGCATTCAGCTACTTTCCCCTTTTTTCTATTTTTCTAACTTCTCTCTCGAGATTAAAACTAAAATAAAGAAGCTAGACAGCAAAAGACAGGACTAAGCACAATTCCCTAGAGGTTTCTTCTTTGCCTTTTTTTCTGGCATTACATTTTTGTGCCCCTTTGTAACAAAGGCCATTGCCTTTCCAAATGACTTGGATAGATTCTCTCTGCAACAAATCACATTTTATTGAGCTGACAGAGAAAACTACTGCCTGGAAATCAAGAGAGAGTCACCCCTGAATCACTACCTACGGCACTATGTGACTTTGTGATCTGGGGAGTGAATGTACCTTTCCATCTGGTAATGAACACATTCGCTGCAGCAAATATTAAGGAGATTCCTAGCACTATTACCAGTCAAATGCAGAATCTCTTGGTCTTCCTTTATTTCTTTCAGATTAAGGTCTTGATCCCACCATGACCTCTGTATTGCAGAATTGCAAGAAGGGAGCATGAGCTGCTTGAGGTCACCACAAAGGATGGGAGAACACACTGCCTTGGGCTCTGCGGCCAGAAAGGGGCTGTTGACACTTCTGTAAGAATGTGGTTTGGTTTTTTTTTTTTGGTTTTGCTGGGTTAAATTCCACTACAGATTCTGAAGAAATCTTCATTCAATTACTGGTGGAGGCAGATAGTTTATAAAAGACAAATTTCATGTCAAATATAAGCCAAGACTGTC